CAGCCGCGCCGCGACGCCCGGCTGCTGCTCGGCGCCCTGCTGGAGGCGACGCCGGAGGCGCTGCTGATCGACTCCGAACGGCCGCTGACGGCGGCGGAGGCGGCGGGCTTCGCCGCGCTGGTCGCGCGCCGCGCGGCGCGCGAGCCGGTCTCGCGCATCCTCGGCCGACGCGAGTTCTGGGGGCTGGCGTTGCGCCTCTCGCCCGACACCCTCGACCCGCGTCCGGACAGCGAGACGCTGGTCGAGGCCGGCCTCGACCGTCTGATGCCGCGCGACGCGGCCTGGCGGCTGCTCGACCTCGGCACCGGCAGCGGGTGCCTGTTGCTGGCCCTGCTGAGCGAGCTGCCCAACGCCTGGGGGCTGGGGGTCGACCTCTCCCCCGGGGCCGCCGCGACGGCCCGCGCCAATGCCTGCGCGCTGGGGCTGGCGGGGCGCGCCGGCTTCGCCGTGGCGGACTGGACGGCCGGGCTGTCCGGGCGCTTCGACCTGATCGTGTGCAACCCGCCCTACGTCGAGGCCGCGGCCGAGCTGGCGCCGGAGGTCGCGGTCTACGATCCGCCACCCGCACTCTTCGCCGGGACCGAGGGGCTCGATGCCTATCGCCGCCTGCTGCCCCAGCTCCCGGCTCTGCTGGCGCCGGGCGGACAGGTGCTGCTCGAACTGGGCGCCGGGCAGGCCGAACCGGTCGCGGCCCTGGCGCGCGCGGCCGGCTTCACGAGGATCGACGCCCGGGCCGACCTGTCGGGGACGCCGCGCTGCCTTGCGGCCGGGCGATAAAAAAACTGTTGGAATGGGCGGCATCTGTCTCTACCTTCGAATTCGTGAGCCGCGTGCGGCTCCGGTGCGTCCGCGGGGGCAGAAGTCCGGACGCCGATCAAGTCCCACAGCAGACGCGTTCGGTTCGACGAGGTCGCACCTCGAACGCCTAGACCAACGGCAGACGGCTGGTGGCTGTGTGGAGCGACACCGTCAACATTTTGGCTTCATGACGTAAGCGACGGATGAGACAAGGCAACAATCAACGGCGCGGGCGTGGCCGCTCCGGGCGTAGGCCCAATGTGCCCTCCCGCAATCAGACCTTCGACAGCAACGGTCCCGAAGGGCGCGTGCGCGGCACGGCGCAGCAGGTGCACGACAAGTACCTGGCGCTCGCCCGTGACGCGCAGTCTTCCGGCGATCGGGTGCTGGCCGAGAATTTCCTCCAGTATGCGGAGCACTATTTCCGCGTCCTGAACGACTCGACGGACCCTGACGAGCAGCGCGACCGGCAACGCCAGAACGGCGAGGCGCGCGGCGAGGGCAGGGGCGAGTCCCGCCAGTCCCGCGGCTACGACGAGGGCTACGACGAGGACGGCGAGGACGAGGACGGCCAGGGCACCCAAGCGAACGGGGGCCAGCCGAACGGGGCCGGCCGGGAGCGCGGGCAACGCCGCGACGAACGTCAGCGCCCGCAGGGGCGCCGTGGCGGCCGCGAGGAACGCCAGGAGACGCCGCGCGACGCGGCTGCCGAAGGCAAGGGCGAGGCCGAGGCGGCGCGTGAGGCGAACGGCGAGGCCGGCGAGCCGGGCGAAGAGGAGCGCGGCGGCAAGCCCTTCGAGACGGCGCCGCCCCTGAGCGAGCGGCGGGCCCGCCGCCAGAGCCGCGAGACCACGACACGCAAGGACGAGCGCGGCGGCGTGTTGACCGGGCGCAAGGCGGCAGAGAGCGGTACGGCAGAAAGCGGTACGGCAGAAAGCGGTGCGGCGGAGCGCGGCGAGGATGGCGGCGCACCATCCGCCGGCGAGGCCCGCGAGGCCAAGGAAAGCGAGATCGACGAGGGCCTGCGCAAGATGCTGAGCGAGCGTCCGCGCCGGGCCACGCGTCAGCGCCGCACGCCGGCCGCCTCGGAGCCGGCGGCGGAGCAGTCGGAGTCGAATCGTGCGGCGGCGCTGAAGTCCGAGACCGACTCGGACAAGACGGACTCGGACAAGACGGACTCGGGTAAGACGGAGGAGTCCAAGGCGGAGGCGGCCAAACCCGCCAAGCCGGCGCGCAAGCGGCGCACCACCAAGAAGCAGGAGGACGAGGGCGCCAAGGCGGAGGAATCCGACAACGCCGCGACCTGACCCGCTCGCCGAGTCTTATCGGCCGAGTCGCATCGCATCACGGCCCCCCATGACGGCCCCCGCCAAGTCCGGCGGGGGCCGTTCGCTTTTCCGGGAGGGGAGGCGGGCGCGGCCCGGCCGATTCCGGCGCCGGCGCCGGCCTACTGCTCGGCGGTGGGCGCGGAGGGCGCGTCCTGCGGTCGCTGGATGCGCGGCGCCAGGGCGTCGAGCACCTCCTGGGTCACGCGCAGCGGCGCCGTCTCCGGCGGCGTGTCGTCCGCCTGCAGCAGCTCGATCTCCAGCGTGCCGCTGTAGACCGTCCAGGTCCGGGTGCGTGGCGGGAAGGGGCCGTAGCGGCCGGGCCAGCGGTAGCGGTCGCGGTACCACCAGGAGGGGAAGGGCGGCGTCTCGACCGTTTCGTAGCGCTTGCGCTCGATCCTCTTGTCGTGCACGGCGAAGCGTGGCGCGCCGCGCTGGGCGGCCAGCTCGGCGGCGCGGTAGAGCAGGCCGTCCTCCACCGTCTGCCGGTCGGTGCGCCAGTTGCCGGCGAAGCGGACCTCGGCCCGCCGCGCGTCGCGCCAGACCTCGGAGTAGCCGCTGCCGCCGCCGGGCGGTGCCGGCGCGTAGGGCGTCGGCGGCACCTGCAGGGAGGAGCAGGCACCCAGCAGCACCGCCAGCGCCAGGACCCACCCGGGGCGGGTGGGCCGGCGCGCTGCGCGTCGCGGCGGGTTCGGGCGGGGGTGCACGGGCTGACTCGTCTCTCTCACGTCGCAGGCCGCAGGAGGGGCCACAGGGGGGCGCAGCGGATGCCACGGCGCATCCCCGCAGGTGGTGCATTCCCGCAGTCTATCAGGTTGCGGCCCCTTGCGCCGCGACCGTCGCCCCGCGCGACGGGCCGCCGCGGCGCCCGGTCCGGACCTCGGCGGTCCCGCTGGCGCGAGTCGCGCGTCAGCGTTCCTCGACCACGCCACAAGCCAGGCGCGTGCCGCCCTGGCCGGCCGGATCGGTGCTGTGATCGTCGGGATTGGCGTGCACCACCACGGCGGCGCCGTCCGCGTCGAACAGGGCCGGCCCCTGGCTGCCGTCCAGCGAGGTCCGCTCGGTCGTCACCTGGAACTGGGCACGGCCGGCGGAGTCGACGTAGACGTTGGGCAGGTCGCCGGCGTGCGGGCCGCCCTCACTCATGAAGCCGTGCGCGGCCTGGTCGACGCCGAGGTGGCCGCCCGAGGCCTTGAAGCCGGCGGCGCCGTCGGAGCAGTCGCCGGTCTGGTGGATATGGAAGGCATGCCAGCCCTGGGGCAGACCCCGCAGGGTCACGGTCGCGACCAGGGTCTCCGGCCCCTGGGTCAACTGCGCCACGCCGCGCGCCTCGCCGTCGGGGCTCTGCAGGGTCGCCTGGGCATCGGGGCTGAGCTCGTGCGCGGAGGCGGCCGGGGCGGTGGCGGCGAGCGCTGCCGCGGTCAGGGTGGCTGCGGTCAAGGTAGCTGCGGCCAGGGTTGTTGCGGCCAGGGTTGTTGCGGCCAGGGCCTTCGAGGCCGCGGTCTTCGAGGTCAGGGTGGCCGCTGCGGAACGTGTGGGCATCTTACGCTCTCCCGTGATTGCTGAAGCGGTCTCCTTTGCGGTCAACGCCCACCGGGGCCGGTCGGATCCATCGCCGCCCGCATCCTGCTCGGCCTGCGACAGAGCGCTGCGGGGCCGCCCTGGCGGCTTGAGCCGGCGCGGCGGATCGGGCAACCACGGGGGCGGGCCGCCCGTGGCGCCCTTGTCCGCTGCGCTTTCCCGCGCCCCAGCCACCGATTTCGGGATGTCCCATGAACGCCGTCAGCATCGGCCCTTTTCTCTTTTCCGCGGAGCGCTTCTCCGTCCTGCTCGGCATGGCGGTGTTCCTGCTGGTCTGCTGGGGGCTTTCGCGGCGGGTCGACGGCCGCTTCGAGGCCTGGTCCTGGTGGGTGGTCTTCGCCGGCGCGGCGGCGGCGCGGCTGGGGCATGTCGCCGTCTACTGGCGCAGCTTTGCCGAGGAGCCGTGGCGCGCCTTCGCCTTCTGGCAGGGCGGCTTCTTCTGGCCGGCGGCGGTCGCGGCCGTGCTGGCGCTGGTGCTGCTCGGCCTGAAGACCCAGACCCAGCGGCTTTGGGCGATCGCGCCGCTGCTCGCCGGTCTGTTCGTGTGGAACGTCGCCTGGCAGCTCGCCGGCGGCGCGCCGGCGACGCCGGCGCCGCAGGCGCAGTTCGCCACCCTGGCCGGCGAGCGCTACGACCTGGCGGCGGCGGGGCGCCCGCAGGTGGTCAACCTCTGGGCGAGCTGGTGCCCGCCCTGCCTGCGCGAGATGCCGATGATGGCCGAGGTCGCGGCGCAGACCGAGGGGGCGGATTTCGTCTTCGCCAACCAGGGCGAAAGCGGCCGGGTCGTCCAGTCCTACCTGGACGAGGCGGCGCTGGACCTGGAGACCGTGGTGCTCGACCCGGTCAACCAGCTCTCGCGGCACTACGACGCCCGCGGCCTGCCGGTCACCCTGTTCCTCGGCGCCGACGGCGCCCTGCGCGGGCTGCACGTCGGGGAGATCTCCCGCGAGGTGCTGCAGGCCCGCATCTCCGAGCTGCTGGCGGAGTGACCCGCTCCGGCGGAGGCCGCCGCCGGAGCGGGGCCTTGGCTAAACGTTGAAGCGGAAGTGGAAGACGTCGCCGTCCTGGACCAGGTAGTCCTTGCCCTCGGCACGCATCTTGCCGGCCTCCTTGGCCGCCGCCTCGCCGCCCAGCGCCACGAAGTCGGCGTAGGCGATGGTCTCGGCACGGATGAAGCCGCGCTGGAAATCGCTGTGGATCACGCCGGCCGCCTCGGGCGCCGTGCCGCCGCGGTGCAGCGTCCAGGCGCGGGCCTCCTTCGGGCCGACCGTGAAGAAGGTGATCAGGTCCAGCAGGTCGTAGCCGGCGCGGATCACCCGGGCCAGCCCCGTGGTCTCCAGCCCCAGGCTCTCCAGGAACTCCTGCTTCTCCGCGGGGTCGGTGAGGCCGGCCACCTCGGCCTCGATGGCCGCGGAGACGATGACGAAGCCGGCGCCCTCCGCTGCGGCGCGCTGGCGCACCCGCTCGGCCTCGGCGTTGCCGCTGGCCGCCGCCTCCTCCTCGACGTTGGCGACGTAGAGCAGCGGCTTGGCGGTCAGGAGCTGGAGCTGGCGGAACACCGGCTGCAGCTCCTTGGGCACCGACACCCGGCGGGCCGGCTGGCCGTCGGACAGGGCGGCGATGGTCGGCTCCAGCACCGCCAGGCGGTCCTTGGCCTCCTTGTCGCCGCCCTTGGCGCGCTTGACCGCCGCGTCGCGCTGGCGCTCGCAGGACTCCAGGTCGGCCAGCAGCAGCTCGGTCTCCACCGTGTCGGCGTCGCGCAGCGGGTCGACCGAGCCGGCGACGTGGGTGACCTCGCCGCCGAAGCAGCGCAGCACCTGCACGATGGCGTCGACCTCGCGGATGTTGCCCAGGAACTGGTTGCCCAGGCCCTCGCCCTTGCTGGCGCCGGCGACCAGCCCGGCGATGTCGACGAACTCGAGCTGGGTGTGGATGGTCTTGGCCGACTTGGCGAGCCGCGCCAGCTCGTCCAGGCGCGGGTCGGGCACCGCCACGCGCCCGACGTTGGGATCGATGGTGCAGAAGGGGTAGTTGGCGGACTCGGCCGCCTGGGTTTCCGTCAGCGCGTTGAACAGGGTGGACTTGCCGACGTTCGGCAGCCCGACGATCCCGCAATTGAAGCCCATACCGTCGCTATTTCCTCGTCTTGCCGCCGAACTGGCCCAGGGCGCGCTTCAGCGCCTGGGCGAGCGGCCCCTCATCCTTGCCGTCCGCACCGTCCTTGCCGTCCGCACCGCCCGGAGTGCGCCGGTTCGCGCGGTCGGAGACCTCCTGCGCGGAGGGTACTCGGCGTGCCGCCGGGGCGTCGGCCGCGGCCGCGTCGCCGTTCCGGGCCGCGCGATCCTTGCCCGCGTCCTTGTCGGCGTCCTTGCCCGCGTCCTTGCCTGCGCGCTTGCTGGCCCCCTTGTCCGCCCCCTTGGGCGGGGCCTTCGGCTTCGGCGGGCTGACCTCCTGGTTGACCCGGCTCATGAACAGGCCGTCCTCGCCGCCGGCCAGCAGCGCGGCATGGCGCGCCAGGGCCTGCAGCAGGCGGTCCAGCCCCTCGGCCTCGGCCTTGGCGAAGTCGCTCAGGACCCAGCCGTGCACCGCCTCCTTGCGGCCCGGATGTCCGATGCCCAGGCGCACCCGCTTGAACTCGGGGCCGATGTGCTGCGCGATGGAGCGCAGGCCGTTGTGCCCGGCCGCGCCGCCGCCCAGCTTGACCCGCACCTTGCCGGGCGCCAGGTCCAGCTCGTCGTGGAAGACCACCACCTCGGCCGGCACCAGCTTGTAGAAGCGCAGCGCCTCGCCGACGGCGCGGCCGGACTCGTTCATGTAGGTCATCGGCTTGAGCGCCAGGACCTTCTGGCCGTCCAGGCGGCCGTCCGCGACCTCGCCCTGGAAGCCCTTGCGCCAGGCCGAAAAGCCATGGCGCCGGACCAGTTCGTCCAGCGCCATGAAGCCGATGTTGTGGCGATTGCCGGC